AATTTTTACATAAATGAAATTAATTCCAACCACTTTATCTTAATTTTTAGAAATAGACAAGGGGGTGGGGTAAAAAAAAATTGTGAAGGAACAACTGTAACCTCCTTGTTTATTCTGGGGAAAGAACATGATAATTCATCATACTTTCATCCACATAAAAACATCCAAGCAAGCTGTAAGTCAAAGTCACAAGGTTATCTAAAATAAAGACATTTAGGAACTGGTTATTAAATTACTTAGTTACTTTTCTATTTCTTAATGATGATGAATGTGCTGCTTCATAGATTACCAGGACCTTCCAAGACCAGGTACTGTCTAACAATTTTCACTACTAAATTGGGATTATAGTATAAAAGTTAAATTGAAACATTACCATATTCCTGAACCCACATAACCAAACTGACTGCAAGTATTCTTCTAAGTATCCCAATTGAAAGGATCCTGCCAGATCCACTCTACTACTCTACTGCAAGCAATCGATGAGAACCACAGAAGGAAAGTAACATACAAAGTGATTAACGTTACAGATAAATCAAATTATAATTATGATATTCTTACACAGAAAGAAATAGTTGAGTATTTTCTAATGATGTATGTACTTTAATTTAAATATAGTCAATTTTATGCTTTCATTTAATAGGCACTTTCTCTGTCAACAGTATGCATTCTTTAGTCATATCAATTCCAGGGGGGAAATTCCAAAGGATCCAGTAAATGCAGACATGGCATCCACCACAATTAAACAGCCAGTGTATGTAAACCTCACAACTTGTTTTCGTATCAGAATGACAGCATACAGTAATGAACTTTCTGTTCAGAACTGCAAAACCTGAAAACGAAAAGAAATATATACTCCCAAATACTAATTACTCAGATGCTTAATACTCAACCTCTTCAAAAATCTGGAGATCAGCCAAAAACTGTCATAAATGATTTGACTTTGTACCAGAACAGTATTTATCAGCATTCTTAATTTCTATCTGTGCAGACAGACTGTGCTTAGTACTTAACAATGAAACAGCTAAATATAACAACAGTGCTAATTAGATCACACATAAGCGTTTGAAAATTTTGATTATAACATAGAAGTCTTTATTAAATTCAGCTAAGGAACGTCAACCACATCTGCTACAGCCATCACAGAACTGAAGGTGGTGGTGTTCACAAGGGATGATGCAGAACCTCAACATGTTAGTGGCTATGCATAAGTCACATCTGAAATGTGACTCTTTAGCAGTGCAGCCGAGTACCTTGTCAGTATAGACCTACTTCTGTCTAAACTAATATCCAGTGGCTTATCTATACAACGAAGAAGTACAGTTACTTGACTTGAAATGAGGATGTGAGGTCTCAACTAACGGTACTGTTTAGGAAAACAAAGTGTTACCAGCAGTAAGCGGAAGGATGGATGCTGAGTTCCTCTGTATGGGATCTGTGTGCGAGAGCAGTTACAACACAGGGAGCTTCATCTTTTGTCTTTGTCTCTCTCCCCTTTCCCCTCCTCAAATCTCATCCTAAAACTTTTACATCTTTTTAATGCAGAAATATATTCCACTTTGACAAGCTCACTGCTGTTACTTATGAAGAAGCGTGCATTTCTCATTGCTACACTGAAATGACTTAAAACAATCGACTGGTTAAGAAAAAACTTTTAGTTTAAATATCAAGAACAAAAGCAGCACAAAAGCAACCTCTCTCCTTCTTCTCATATTGGGTGTTGCTGTTCTATGCAACCAAAAATCAACAGAAACATCAGGGACAAAAACTCATCCAACCAAAATAAATCAAAAACCAGTGACCTCGG